GAAAAAGTGAATGAACGACACACAAACCTTATTTCCTGCTCTGTCCATTTAACCCCCAATTCCCTGATATTGTCAGATCACACAGTTGCACAAACCAGCTTCAGCTACAAGACGACTGGGATTAAAACAGCAGGCATGAGCTCTGCTTGCATTCCTGACTTGGTTTGCAGAGCTGATCCAATCTGGGAAAGCTCTGCTGGGCAGAATCACTCACCACTCTGCTCAGCATGCAGAGCATTCACTGAAACCACTGGCAGTGTGGGGCAAAAAGCTCAGCCTCAGAACTCACCATGATGCCCTTGAAGAATGCTCACAAATTTCCTAAGCCCTGAATGAAACCTTTAGCTGACATCTAGCTCCTCGGTTAAAAAGTTTGGGCCAAATTCTGTTCTCAGTAAGCATATCATAAGGCTGAACAGATTCCATTCATGTCTGAGGAATTCTAAATTCACCCCTTGGGGGATTAACATAGAAATTGGTTCTTTGTGCCTTTTAACTTTCAGGATATTTAGGTGACTCTTCCACTGACTGAAGGGCAGAAGTGGGCACCTACGAGCAACACTGTCAGTGCATGTAGATGAATATTTGTCCTTGAAACAAGCAGCAGAAAAGAAAAATGCATTTGCATTTGCACCAGAACTCAGTTTATGGCTACAACAGCATGAACCAGAATTTAAAACCAGTCTTGTGCAAGAGTGACAGCAGAAACTTGTCTCCAGTTAACTCAGCTAGCTATAAATATAAAATCACTTTAACAGAAACAATATAATTTGCAGATCCCCACTAGCTTCTAGTTTGAAGGCAGCAGGCAATGAAGCTGCAGGTACAGTTGGGAGGTGGTACACATGAGCAGAGCACAATGTAACTCACTTTTATCACACATGAGACATCGGAGACTTCAGCAAAGTCAGTCTGAGATTGCTGTACCTGAGTTACACCCACTCCTGGCACCACACCAGAGTGTAACACAGGTCTGAGCTTGTGAGGCGCTGAATACACACAACTTTCACTGCATTTGGTAAAAGCTGATGGCATCAAGCACCTTGCAAGATCACATCCTGGGAACAGACTGCACCATATTAGAAGTAAAAAGGCTGATCTGAGCCCTGAGCAGCACATTCACTATAAGCTGTGAATGTGTCTGTACAAAGTGCTTCTGACTTCCCTTTGCACCCTTCTCTGATGCTGTCCAGATGCTTGCAAGCTTTTACCCACCCGGCCAGATGAAATTTTTGCATCAAGACAACTTTCAGTCTGTGTTTCACAAGTGCTTTTTTCTTACCTATCAAACACCACGGCCGCGTAGGCTGGCTCTGCAAAGATGACATCCCCAGGCAAGAATTCCTTCTGCGCTTTCAAGCCCCTGCCTTTGCCTTCAGAATTGAACACTTCGACTGACTCCATTCCCCCTTTGGTCATCCCAAAGGACCCCAAGGCTTGGTGGGTGTGGGTATCTCAGAGCAAAAAACCTCCCGTCACTCCTGTCAACTTTGACTTGCCGCAAGACCACGCTTATAAAAGGGCTGGGCCCCCCCCACCCCCAGCCGCACCGTTTCCCATAGGAGGGCGAGGGGGTGGGAACAGGAGAGGCAGGAGGTGAAGATCCTCCACACAATATTGCCGACCTATGCTGGGGAGGCACAGGGCTGGGGCTTCTGCTTCATCAGGAAACCCCCTCCGAAAACCACGTTTGGAATTGTTTCTCCCAGCCACAAGCAGTTGTATATGTTACAACTCAGAGTAATTTATACTCTCTCATTGGAAAGAGAATGTATTCTCTGTGCAGGGTATTTTTAGCAGCCACATGCTTCTGTCTCTCAGGAAGCAACAGCTGAGACAGTGGCACAGGGAGTGCTGGTATGTGTACTTCTGACCCTTTCCACTGTCATCTGGCTTTTTCCAGAAATTAAACAATGCTCCTTTATTTTTACCCACTACAAGATGGATGGCGTGTTTAGAGGCAGGGATAACAGAAAAACACGTGCCTTGAAATTCTTGGCATCCTCTGTTGCCACCGGAGCCTCGAAAAGGGGAGTCACTTCCCAAATGCCAGCGGCGGCAGGCACACGGAGCAGCATGGAAGGACAGCAGTGGTTCAGCGTGGGCTGCAGAAGCAAAGCAGGACATCTTAGATACTGACACAATTTTGGAGGCACTGAACCTTTTTCAAACAGCACTGCATTTGAGGGTTCTCCCCACCTCCAGATATCAGCCACAGAAGAGATGGGAGAATTTGAGCCACTTGAGTGGAAAACAAGAGTGCACCAGTGAGACCAAACCCATGAGAAGCCAGGTCCTGGCTTTGCTCTCTGTCTCCAGCAGCCAATGCAAGTTTGGGGTGTCGCAAGGGAAGGCCTCATTTCACCAGCGAAATTGAACCCAGCCCAGATTATTGTTCAGCATTTTTTTACCATTCAATAGTACTTCACAGGGCTGATTAATTTCCTGCTAATTTCATGCTCCCACCTCGAGGAAATCTGATGTTATTTCCTCTTGGATCTCTAAGCACCACACAGCTACCAATCTTTGCAAACCTCTTTCCACACCTTCGTGCTGCACAGAAAAACCTGTCTAATTATCAGGGAAAATAAGGTGCAGAGAAATAAAGAAGGTGATCCTCATGCATCCCATGACTATAAAATAAATGTTTTACCTTGCCAAGGCAGTGGGAAGCTTTTCCGTGCTCTTCAGGACAGTCACAGAACTGCTCAGCACCTTCTCCTAAAAGCTTCTGGCAATTTTCCTTGCCTCCGAATGAAATATGGTATCACACTTCACCAGAAGTATCCTCTGTTATAGTTTGCCTGTGTGTGCCAAGCACAAACAATACCAATCCACGACTCCATAAATTCAGAGTGATCCAGTTTTTCATGTGATTATAAGCAATCATCCCCAAACAGCCAGACTGCTCCACTCGTACTGTGGAGAGCCAGAGCCATCACAGAATCATCAGTGCCAACCTCCCCGTGTTTAAGCTGCACAGCATAGAAAAGTCACTACAGGCAATTAGCCCCTAAAAGCAACTACATTTTTAATTGCAATGCTTTACTTGTGTGACAAGTGATGTCAGGATTCTCTGGTCTCATCTGTTAGCCGTGTTTAATTCCCCTGGGTATAAGCACCTTTTATATACATACGTTTGCCAGCAATGCTTTATCGCCTCAAAATCAGATGCTGATTTTCCCCCTCTTCCAAAACCCCCACCGTCTGGATTGTGGCTATATTGAACCCAGTCATTAATCACACTAAACACTGTTTCTGATTCCCAAATAACAAAGAATATAGAATGGAATCGAATGGAATCGAATATAATACAATACAATGCAATACAATACAATAACAAATACTGCAATTATAACAAAGAATAGATCCTTTCAAAGTAGTCAAATAACATCAACAGATCAAAGTCCTAGGAGAGAGTTACAGGAGATCAGGTCTCTGCATGGGCAGACAACTGTGGTGCACCCAGTACAATGCACCCCTCACCCCTTCAGATCACAAAAGAGAAAAACATTTTTGGCTGGGACAGAGTAAAAAAAGTCTCATTTCTCCTCTTCCAGCCCGGTGAATGCCATGGTGGTGTGTGCTCAGCTGCGTTGTACAGGAGAACATTGGCGACCCAGCTGCACATCACACCCCCTGGTGCCACTGGGCCACAGTTTCTGACCCAGCTGTGTTCAAAAATACAGTGACAAAACTGTCAATCTGAAGAGAAAACACCAGGAAACTTGAAAAGGGCCACGAGAGGCTGGGTAACAGGGGCTCCCACTTAAATTCCTATTTGGAGCAGTGACCCTACTTTCAACTCCTTGGAAACATACTGAATTTCAAAGCCAGCCAGAGAGCACACAGATTTTGGGGTGCTGAGCAAGGCCAATCCTTTGGCAGTGGGTTATTCTGTGCTTTGGGTCTGTCTGGATGTTGGGCTGGAGGGGTGAAGCAGCCCTGTCCTCCCAACAGGAGAACAAACAGCACCCTCTACTGCCCTCTAAAATTTCATCCAAAGCACAATTATCAAATATAATCATTGCAGCTTTGGATTGCACTGAACAGTACTCAGGGAAATTGTGAATTACAGGGAAAAAAAGAAAAAAATAGTGGGGATAAAACCTGTCCAGATGCTCCTCAGACTCATCTTGTCATTATAATTTAGCTTTAAATGTTAAATGTAATCACCTACAGAGCAAGGGTGGGCCCTGTGCCTCTATGAAACCCCCTTTTGGAGTGACAGTGGGGAAAATTTGGGGGAAATTAGACTGCCTGTTCTCCTGGGGGTTGGTGTAACAGGGGAATTTGGCCTTGAAGAGGGATGGATCAATGGGGTGATCCAGGGGAGGTCTGGCTGGTGGATCATCAGCAATTTAGGGCATTTTAGGGGTGTTTTGGGTGCCAAATGCAGAGGAGCCACCCAAAGTTGAGGGAGAGGCCTGCAGTTACCAGTGGTTGCTAGACAGATATTAGGCAGTTACTAGTAGTTACTAGGCAATTAAAAGGCAGCTACTAGTAGTTACTATGTGATTATTGCAATGTCACTAGACTCTTACTAGCAGTCATTAGGTTGTTACTAGACTTACTAGTAGCTATTAGGCAGTTATTAGACAGGTACTAGCACTGAGGCAGTTACTAGTAGTTGCAAAGGAGATACTAGGCTGATACTAGTAGTGCCCAGTCAGTTCAAAGGGCAGTGGACCCCTGAAGGAGAGGCCACGGCCCAGCGGGGCAGGGGGAGGCCGGCCTGGGCGCAAGGCAGGCCCACAACTGGCCAGACCAGCTTGGCGGGCTAGCGGTCATAAGGGATCCCTTTGGGGATTTAAGTGGACCCGAGGGGGTGGTGAGAGGTGAAGGGGGCTTGCAGGAGGAGCTCGTTACAGGAGAGGCAGCGGCTGGGGCCTATTAAGGTGTCCCGGCCCTGAATTCTTCTCCTAGGGCGGCCTGGCCCCGCAGCGGTGCGGTGTCCCTTAAGGGCAGTGGCTGCTCCTTCTTCTCTCAGTGCTGGGGCCATGGCGGCGGCGGGACGGGGTAGGAAGCGGGCCCCGCGGGCTCAGCTTGCTGCCCCGCCCCGCGAAGGTGAGTGGGGCCCGGCCCATGGAGCCATGCGGCGGCGTGAGGGGGGAGGTGAGGGCGGGAGTGTCGGAGTATGGCAGAGGCACGGTAGTGCTGTTCCCTCTGTGGAAAATATGTGTGTGTTTGTGGTGCTGGTATTGAGGGAGTAATAGGTGTTTCATGGCAAAGGCAAAAACTAATGAGGAGCAAAACGCAGGGAGAATCTGTGTTTTGTATGTGGAAGGAGCAGGTAGGGTATCTGAAATTGGTCCAAGCTGTCTGATAATGTAGCTTGTAAAATGTAGTGTTATATTTCTTTACTGCAGAGATCTTAGTCTAGCTGCATAAACTCGTGCTTTTGGGACAGTAAGATGACAAACAGGTTACTTTTATACACCAGACCTGGAACTGAATCTTAAGGTTGTGGCTGAGAAATTATAGGAGACCTCTATGCCATCTTTTTCCCAGGTAATCTCTCCCAAGAGACATCACCCTGCTGAAATCTAGCAAATAGCACCCCAAAAAAAAGTGTTGGGCTTCTAGGAACACAAAGCTATTCAAAGTGGGTATAAAATGCTCCCATGTTGAAAGGCTTTGGTTTATAAGCATTGACTGTTCAAGTTGGGTTTTTTTTTTTCAAAAAGATCCACATGCTTAGCAATATATAAACATGGGCTTTTGTTAACTATGTGAAACATCCCCTAACAGCAGATCTCCCCATTGTCTGTTAAATTTAGTAGTACTCTCGGACAGAAATAACTCTGGTGGAATTAAACTGTTTAAAAAGCTAACAGCTATTTTAAGCAGGCAGCTTACTGGAGGAAAAAAACGCATGTATGCTCTTCAAAGGAATATACTTGGAGAAAGGAATGTGGTCTTGCTACGTGTAGGTTTAAATTCCATTTTCATATGTATTTCTTGAGCTGAAATGTCATATTCCTGAACTCTGCTTTAAAAGTACTTTGATATCCTGATAATTTCAAGGGATTTTCTGGGTCTGAAGGTTGGTTTTTTTAAATTCTCAGTGTTTAGAGGTAGCTCACACACTAATTTTTAGTGCTTAGCTGATACAGGCTTTGTTGTCAGCTAGACACAGCATGGACTGCTGGTTGTGCTTGTCAGTTCATACCTGTGCCACACAGAGCTGTGGAGCTGAATATTATGAGTAAATTCTGGTTTGATAGCTTGTTGAGGAGAGGGAATGTCCTTTTCTTAAATTCAAAATTTGCAATAACTTCTGACTTTGGAAACTTTCTGTGGCAACAGGTCTTGCTAATTTCTTGACACACACACACATACACACACACACACACACACACTCACTGTCCTTGGGGTTTTTTGTTTGTTTTAGCCTAAGGGGTTTCCTGTGATTTGGTGGCAACAATATAAAAACCGTTGGTACCTGTAACTGTGAGTTAATTACACTCTTACAACCATATACTCTTATTCAAAGCTCAGTATGTACCTCTCCCATATTATAAATAATTTTGCCCTCTCCCTCCTTTTCTACACATTTTCAGTTACTGGATGGGGGGAAAAAAAGAGTTGGGTTCCACTTAATTGTTTGTGTTTGTCGCCCAGCAGACCACAAGTCCTAAATAGCACTGAGAGTAGTCTGAGAAATAACATTGCACAGACTACTGTAATACAATTGTCCAGGAGCATTTGTATGTCAGAAGGGCAAGTAACTTGTCTTAACCTGCCTCAGAGTTTACAAAGTGTGCTGGGAGGTGTATTTCTTATGTCTTCTTAAGACCCAGGGAGGGTTAAACCATGACAGAGTGGAAAGGAGAAAGGGTCTGTTATCCTAAGGAAATAACTTAGTGCCTGGCAAGGAAACTTAACAGCTTATCCTGCAATGTTAAAGAAGTCTGATGCATTAGATTCTTCTTCAGAAGGAGCCAACCACCCAGTGTAGACTTAACCAGCCTTCTGTTGCACCGTGTTCACATTTTGACAGTGTTTCAAGAGGTAAAGTGCAGCTGGATCAAACCATGCTCACAGAAATTTAAAAATATCAAAGACTTACTTTCAGAAATACTGAGCAATTTATTGCAGTAAAAATTATTTCACACTTAAAAAAAATGAAAATTGCAATACAGATCCATCTGACCATCAAGGCTTTTAGCACTGTTTTGGTTTAGTTTGTACGCTGGAAAAGATTTGGGCAGCGCTAGGTTTAACCCCTGTTTTGGTAGTGTAGCTGTATGCTTCAAAGGTCTTATGCGTGTGTACAGGCTTGGCCGTGTGTCTTAGTCAAGTCTGTGAAAGTGTAGTATTAAGAAATGGATATAAATGCTTGTAAGTGAACTTGTTATCATGTTCTGTGGAGAAATCTTACCGTTTGAGAGATGAGACTAGTTTATAAAAGCATGCAGTGCTGGTATTAACAGAATTTGAGTACAGTTTGGCATTTCACTTTTTTACAATCACCTGAGCTTCAAATATAAAACAAGGAAATAATTCAAAAGGATATTCAGTTACTAAACTCGTGGGGAAAATGAAAATTTAGTGGTACTACACCACTGTTTCCATGGAGAAATGTCTTTCACCTGACTACAGAAATCAGAATGTCTGGTTTAGCCTCCCTTCCTTGTATAGGAATACGGTGCTGTAATACCACCTCAGTATACCTGATAAGGGTTTTCAAGTGTGTTATCTTTGTCTGCCCTGAGTTGGATATCTTGGGATATTGAATTTATTTCTAAGATTGCTTTCTGACTCCTACTGTATAGTGACCACGCTTACCAAAGCCAAAAGTGATTGGATTTGAATGATGCTGTTTGCCTGCTGTTTTGAAAGGCTGATACTCCAAGCATTCAAGCTTTTGTTCATCTTTTATCCTGTTATGGAGTAAGAATACAATTACCTGATTTCAAGCAATAGGGTTTGCACATCATGTAAAGTTGCTGCCAGTCAGCTGAGATGAGATGAGATGAGCTGACCGCCTGCAGGCTCCTGCCTTCCTTGCTTGCAGAGTAAAGCAAATTAATTAGTGCTGTAAATTAACCTGTTTTACTTTGCAGCTGAGACAGGCTTCAGCAGGCGCACTCGGTTCCTGCGAGGCTGACAGGTGGCAGCCTGGTAAGATGGTCCGAGTCCATTGCTTAAACTGGTCCAGATGTGCCTTGGAGATGGCCATGAGAAAGGGCTTGTAAAATGAGAAAATGTGTGGGTCAGTATTTGCTCTTGAGGACTTGCACTTGTGAAACTTGATTCATGTATTTCCATCTAATTCTCATTAAAATGCTCCGTTTGCTGCTGGCTTTTGAGGGCAGAATTTGGCTATGTCATTTTGTGGGTTGAGTACCTTGAACTTGAAACTTTATTCCTCTGCCTTAAGGGGTTTGTCTTGCCTAGACTTTTCCTTTACTACATTGTTCTGCTTTCTGTCTTCTCTACCCTCAAGAAATGGGAAAGAAAAGTTAATAATAGAGTAAAGCTGGGAGCATTTAGTTTTTAATCAAGTGGTAGAAAATCCTGGGCTGAACAGACTTTTTTAAATTACCTGGTTTCTGATGCTTTAATTAACATTAGTATGTTTCCTACCACATTTACATTGCCCTGAGGGAACAACTTCTTTTATCCCCCCTCTGCCTTTCCTATGTGACATGCCACAAAGGTTCCTCTGCAATTAACCTAATGGAAGTAAGGCAAGAGATAGGAAAGGTTTAAAGTTGTAAAGACATCCTCGAGCTTCTCTCAAGTAGTAAAATATACAAGCACGATAATGCTGAAATGTCCTTGAGCCTTTTCACATCAGTGTTTTATTACCTTTATTGAATTGCTCTTCCATTGAAGAAGATTTCAAACAAAAGAAATAAATTTTAAAAATAATGGGTCTGCTTCTACAATTGTAACTGAGAATTTAGAAACAGTAAGCAAATAATTATCTTTCAATTCATACACTAAGAGTCTGACTTACAGGCCACGTGTTTGGTTCCAGATTTCCAAAATCCACCTCTGTTACTTTGATTTTATTTTTTTAAAATTATTAAAATTATTTCAGTTTTCATGTTAAGAGCGATGTTGAGCACCTGCAGTTCCCATTGCCCTCTCAGTGCCCATACTTTGGTGTTTGAACATCAAAACAATCAAGTTGTTCACGTTCTAAGAAAGTGTTCCTCATTGCCTATTGATTGCGCCTCATTGTCTGTTGATTTAGGCTGGATTTATTCTCTGCATTAAAGGAATAACTTTATAAAACACATCTCTGGAATAGTAATTATGTAAATGCTAAATGAATGAGCAAGAATGTAAGTATATTGGATATTACCTGGATATTCAGGTGACTCTTGATGTTTTCTGTCTTGACTTATGTTATTCCCTACTGAGTCAGACCGCTTTTAATTTCAATTTATATGAAATATTTAGCTTCTGTGTTTTCTGAATGCACTCAGAAGAATCCAGTCAGAAAACTATACCAGTAAAAAGTATGCTGGGTTTTAAGCATACATTTTTTGTTATGATCTACCTCTGCTTTAGTAATGGATTTTTCTGTTTACTCGGACATATTTATAAGTCGCATTGGAGAGAAGAATGAGAACTCAAATGAGGGTGAAAGTGGATGTGCTTAGGAAACTTTTCGTGTACCAGTCATTTTCATACTTCATAAATCTTAAGTGATTCATGGTTTGACTTAATGATAGAGGACTTGCAAGAGTGAAACCAACTCAATAAAACACTGAGATGTTACCTCATTTGATTCAAAACTAATCTCGAGCTTGGAAGGTGACATCATAAAGACAAGTGCTTTTCAAAAGGTAACTTGTGAAATGCAGCTTAGGTGGGAAGGAGGAGTTGTGTCCTTTTCTGATACTTTCTACTTACTTCATACTTAAATAGCACGATGTTAGCATCTGGAGTCACTCACAAAAGTACTTGGTTTGAAACACTTGTTTTCTAAGAAAATCAAGGTTTTTAAACCAAGATTGTTCATACCCTAACTGAAAACAGTACTTTAAACTGAAAATAATATTTTAAAGTGACACTGTTCATGTCAATTCTCTTGTTTAGGATAATAT